ACTAAAATGCCAACTAATGCCAAGTGACCAAAACACAAACTGCTTTTGTTTACAAAAATCACGTGGGTCAGGTCAGATTCTGTTGCTTTGTTCGAGCTCCGATGCAAAATTTTCTGACATTTTTATTATGTCAAGTACTGATGAGGTCGAGTACCGGAGTGCTACTGTATTATCTTTTTTATTTTAATTGGTTTGTTGTGATGTTGACTATTTCATTTGTTATTTTTAACATTTACATCTTCTCCCTTTTTCCTTTGTTAGTTTTGCCAGTGGTTTGATCAATTTTGTTAATCCATTCACAAAACCAACTTCTAGTCTTGTTGATTTTTTCTATTGTTTTTCTGTTCTCTGATTAATGTATTTCTGCTTTAATCTTTAGTACTTCTTTTCTTCTGCTAGCTGATGCTTTATTTTTCTGTTTTTGTTCTAGATGTTGGGTTAAATTGTTGATTTTCCTTCTTTCTTTTTTTTAATGTGTGCATTTAGTGATATAAAGTAACTTCTGAGTATTGTTTTATCTGTGTCCCAAAGGTTTGGGGATGTTTGTTTTCGTTTGTCTCAAGGAATTTTATGATTTAGTTCTGTATTTCTTCAATTATCTAGTAATGTTAAGGCAGTGTGTTGTTCATACCCACACAATTGATTTTTTCCCTTAATTTCCTATTGTTTTCCAATTTTGTAGCATTATGACTTGAGATGATTAGTATTATTTTGATGTTTTTAAATTGATTGAGGCTTGCATTGTGGTCTAGCATATATTTTGGATAATGCTTCATGTGTAAGGGAAAGAATGTATATTGTGCTGTTGTTGGGTGAACTGTTCAGTATACATCGAAGATGTCAAATTTATTGTGTTGTTTAGTTCTTCAGTCCATTTGTTGAGTTTCTTTGTTGTAGTTCTATCCTTTCTAGAGAGTGACATATTGAAATACTCTACTATTATTGTAATATTGTTTATTTTTTCAAATCTGTTAGTTTGATGGATGTATTCTGTCTTCTATTGCTTCAGTTTTACTTCTCTTCTCTCTCAATGTCTTATCCACTTCTAAAATCTCAACATTTTTCTCAATTTTAATTTCTATTTTTGTATCGTTTCTAAATTTTCACTTTTGTCAGATTACTCTTTTAATTTTTTTCTTGAATTCTTCTATGTCTCCCCCCTATTCTCT